TGGTATATCAGGGGCATTACATCTAGCAGATTTTGAAATTTCATAAGGTTTGTATACAGACATGAGCTTGTGGTTTTGAGATTTTCATAACTTAAATTGTTTGGTGATCGATAAAATGTTAATATTTTCCTCATAACATACATCATTCTTCAGTCATTAACTGTAAATAACTGGCAATGACCTGCCGTTCACTTTTAGTAAATTTGGCGTTTGTATCTAGTATCCAATAATTATAATCTCGAATGTTAGTAGATTGATTGATATTCTTGGTGTTGATGTTTTAAAGGACGGTGACAGCCTCAATCACATCTGAAATGACAAAACTATCTTTTACGAGGACACCACAAAATTTCACGAGCCTAGAACAAATTAGTCAGATGACTATCGACTTTCCCATTGAACCACCAACCAGTAGAATTCACTACTTCAGTACGTGATTGGAGCTCCATCTGTCGACTCTTAGCCCGGCTAACACAGGCCATCAAGCCTTCTATTCTTTCCAAACTGGAAATTAAACGAGCTTTTTATTATATACCTTCTAAGTCTCATGTGTTTTGCACTCAGTTCTTATTTTCCTTTTTTTATGTAAGTTTGTGTAATATGATCTAAAAGCACTTTTTCTCTATGGATTTATTGAACACTATCGCTCATATTCCAGTCCCCTTAGCATCCTGTCGTGATATCATTGTATCTGATCAAACGGAAGTGATTGTTTCGTTTTTCTCCTTGATTAACAATGTTGGAGGTTAGTTGTCTGCATAAAATTAAGCTTCAAAATCCTTAGTGTGCAGCACCTGGAGTTGAGGATGCTAACGTATGGGGTCTCATAAGTTTAAAGAAAGGTGATAAAAAAGCCCAAAGGAAAATTCTGAATGAGTTCCACAGACACAACAAGGTGTTGAATGAAACTGATGAGATTCAGGATACAAGACAAGCCAGAAGGATAGCTTTCAGAGGAGTTAAACGTCAGCTTAATCTCTGGAAAGGCCCAGTACATAAAAATCGTCTTGCAGAACAAATCGTGTTTCCAATAAATGACAGAGAAATCGTTATGTCAGCCTCCCAAGAGGCTGCAAAAATGAAAGAGCAAGTTTATGTCAAGGATACCATAAAAGATTCGACAAATTTACAGGGGAAATTATATAATGCACTGTATAGAGATATGGACACAAGGTTAGTCTTTTTTCATGTTGTTAGTTCTTAGTACACCTCAGGAAGAAATTCCAGAAAAGGCGGCGAAGATGGTTTCCAAGATGCTACTGGAAAAAGTCGCTATGCGTGACAGAGAACGTTTCTTACTTGCTCGAGCTGCTGCTCGTAACAAGCGTCAAAATAAAATTAAAAGCAAGCGATTTCATCGTCACTTGAAGGCACGTACTATGAAGGAATATGAAAAAGAAACGGAGTCATTGCGGATCAATAATCCTCGGAAATTTGCTGAACGTCTTCTCAGTGCCGAATTAAGTAGAGTCAGAGAAAGAGCCAGTCTGAAACATAGAGGTGGTAGCAAGTTTGCAAAATTACAGAAGTTGAGAGCAAAGTATGACTCTGAGGTAGCTATATGTTAATCTTACTTATAACTTACCAGGCTAGAGCAGCTGTAGCAGACATGCACGAGTTATCTAGGGAGACCACAAGAAGGACTGATCCCGACTTTCTATCTGATACTGATGAATCTGATGTATCTTTATCATCTGAAACTGAGGGGGAATCAGAAGGGTCTGATTTTAATTTAGACGATGATGCCGACGAGGAAGTTAATGGAGTTACTCAAACCCTCGGCTGGTGGAAAAAGGTAAAATATGATCCGTTTTCAACATATACTAGCTGGTCAACGTATATTTTTGCAAGACATGAATATTTTCACTCGCTTCTCTCTAGGAAATCCACGAAATATAACGGAGTATATATTTTATGCATATATTGGCTACGCCATGGTTTAGTGATTCGACTTTCGACCACCAGGCCATAGGTTCGAACCCTATTTTGGTTCGTGAAACCGGGTAGCACAATTAGTCATCAGTTACTTTAACTTGTAGCTAAATTCTTGATGCATAAACTAATGAGTGCGTTCTACAATCAACTCTTCCACTTATCCGAAAAGCTACAGTCTTTTCGAAATCTCATGTTAGCAGGGACCACATATCAACTACATTTCTTGTGGTTATTTCTCCACTACCGTTGTTGTTAACTTTTTGATTCTCATCTTGTTAATTCTCCCGTTATGTTGAAGCTTGACAACTCGAAGTAATATATATTTGTACCCATTTCCACACTTTATATGATTGTCTAATAGTATGGTGCTTACTTTTTTTAGTCAGCCAGTTCATTAGTTTTCTGTGTTTGTGTACGGTTGCATCGTACACTAGTACAACTATAATAGATTTTCGAAATTTGCATGAAAAGATAATTTTGTCTTACTACATAGTTCACCTTCGTGCTCTACACTTGAAGTTTATCGATTGCAATTGAACCTGAAACTGCTTCCTATTATATGCGTAACCTACCACTGACATCGCGTAGTGTAATTATGACGAAATATACCTTGTTCGTGTAGTTTGGTTCACATAAAATGGTCAAAAGTGAAAAGGTGCATATATACATATATCCTTATGGTTTTCTCTTTTGATTACTGTAATTTAAATTTATTGATAAAGATTACCTATACAGTGCATAACTTTTATAGACTTTATAGATTAAACAATTATTGTATTTTACTTTTCTCTGTGTGGCTCCTAACTTCTATCTACGACAAAATCCAACTTACTCGACTGGGTTTCATATCGGTATTCGTTTTGCAGTGTCCGTATTTAAACTCAGAAATACCCAGTCATGTTTTCAATAAGTGATAATTATGTATTATAGTTCAGTTTCAGATAGTCGAGTGGTCATAAATGTTCTCATCTATTTTTTCATTTAGGGCTCAACCAAGAACAAATCGAAGACCGAACATCAGACAACTGTTGGAGCTGTGCTTTCCACTCAGGCAGCTGAAGAAGTACTAGAAAAATATGAAGTCAATCAGATGATTTTAAGTGAACCAGTAGTGTGCAATACTAGTGTGGCTGCAGAACCAGATGTAGTTGATCCTAATTCAGAGGGGTTTTTCCATGCACTTCAAGAAAGCTTTGCAAATGACCCTGCATTACAACAGAAGTTTTCCGCAGAGAAATCTGAAACTGTAAAAGATGAGGCACCTCAAGATATTGATACATTTCTGCCTGGATGGAATTCCTGGACAGGTCCAGGAACTGAAAAGGCTGATGAAAGAAAGCGGAGATCCAGAATTATACCTGCTCCTAGAGTAAAACGTGAAGATGACAAAAAACCTCACGTAATCATCAAACGGCGTGTAAACCAAGATTTCAAGCAACACTTGGTATGTCATATATATATATATATATATATATATATATATATATATATTCATGAATGTCTTTGATTTTTGCAATCGTTCGTTAATTTTTTCACTTCAATCTTTGCTAGGTAAAAACTATTCCGTTCCCATACAACACACCAGAACAATTTGAAGCTTTTATCTCTCAGCCTATTTGTAGAGAATGGACAACAGAACTTACACATCGTGAGCTAACAAGGCCCAAAGTTACAGTTCAGTCAGGTCGTATTATCAGACCAATATCAAAGTCTGCAGCCTTACTACGTGATAAAGATATAGAGCGTTTTGTTAAACAAAACAAAAACTCTTAGTATCATGTACATTACTTATCTTTTTATGAGTTATCAATATCTACATTGTAATATGAAATATAACATTCGTAGATTGTTCAGTATTATTTAAGGTAATTTAATTATAGTAAATGTCCTGTAAGAAGCTTTTGCCCTAGCGGCGAGTTGATTGACGTATGTAGTATTAAACACGTAGTTTTTAATGTCCGATGAGTGATATTCTGAAGTAACAATTACTTTGGTTATGGAATGTAATGATTTTAAAATCGATATGGATCCTGTATGAACTACTAATCATGACAGTGCCGCATTAATGTAGACAGTTGGCAACATGCAGAATGCATTTGTTTTACGTGTTACGTCGAATCTCATCAAAAAGTGGACACTTCTTATAATTACGAAAATGTGAATAGTGGTATTCTTATGTGTAATCAAAGGATTTTAGGTGAGAAGTTGCGTAGTAATTAATCTTTCGAAAATTAGAATAATTATTGGGCAGGAAAATTAACAGCCATAACGAATCAGCAGTACAGTTTCAAACAAGGTATAATTATCTGAATAGTAATAAAATATACTATTAAATAATAATGACCGACCAGTGTTGTCTGACTTTCGATGATACTGTTAACTGAGCTTAGTCATGTCAGGAGTAAGATAGTTATCGTCACCTACAATGGATGGTCATCGCGCTACTTCGCGAACTGATTAAAGTTACGATTACGGATTTTTTAACCTCAAATTAAGTCGTCCAGTAATGTGCGAAACTTGTAGATCCTCGGTTCGATCTTTTAAAACAACAAATAGCAATTATTACAAAACAAGATGGCATTTGACTCTTCTAAAATGAGAACAAATAAGGCCAAGAGGAACCAATATCAGCAACTACTTATAATTCGTAAAACTCCTCACAGATGATATACCACCAAACTTTTGGGTTCACATACAAAAAAACTTATTATATTACCTTCCTCATTAGTTTGACCTAGAGAAATATTGTGCAAATGCAGCTTGGTATGAAGCTAGATTTACCTCCACAGGACATTTTTTGGTTGTTTCGTTTGGTAGAAATATATTAGAAGAAATCTGCATTTTATTTCACATGTACATTATACTTCTATAACTCTAGCAAGTAACTAGTCAGAATCAAGTTTGTATTGTTCGTTCCATAAACTTAAGTTTTCATCTGATTAGACAGCCCACCAATTTTCTTCGGATCTGTTTTGACTATATTTTGAGATGTTTCAAATATGTAGGTCTTTGTTGTAGTTACTGAAAACACCATGAACATAAAAGTAATAATTTGATGCTCACTAGCTTTATTTAACTTATAATCATATTAACGAAAATAGGCCCATCGTTACCCGAAATATTACTTGGCTCTTACCTGTATTTCAAATAGTTCTGATAATCACTTTACGAATGGTATCATTTTTTTAAAAAAAGGAAGGATTATTTAGACTGTAACAGCTTTCGAATAAAGCTATTTTAATTGAACTCCAATTAAGTATAATTGGTAGTTAGTAAATCCAAGTGAATTGTTTTTATATATTGAAAACGATAGTTTAAAATCTTATCATATAGAAATCTCGATGTAAAGATAAATTATTGTATTACGAGTACATTAATTTATCTAATATTCAATGTTTTACTAGCAGTGGAGTGGATGACGCATGTCTCTTTCTATTTTGGACTCGTCAGCTGGGTGTACCTGCATCTGAATTGATGTTCACTCTTGGACTCAAACGCAGTAGCGTTCGCTTCAAATGCCATCGCGTTATCCACTCAGCTACTGAGTCCTGTATTCAATGTTTAGAGTAATCGAAATCAATTTTAAAATATATTGATACATTCCAAGTAACGTAAGATTAAAATGAACAAAACAATAAGAATATTAAAATTATCTAGATGGTGCATAAAATAACTTTTGAAGAAACATGATAATTAAAAATAAAAATATTAGTAATTCAGAAAGGTTGTTTGGAGAACAGCAGCATGCGATGGGATATATCTGTTCATTTGATTAAAGGTTTCAGTAACTGCTCAAATTATGCGTCTTTATTTTACTTGGCAGCTTTTTTAACATTATTTTGAAATTGACTTGTCACATTTCCTGGAGGATGATACAAACAAACCAAAATCAGTTTCGAATCTTTATGCAAGTCCTTTCCTGATTTGTAGGATTGACTTGCAATACCAACTCCAATCCTTTCAGAACTTGACCATACAATTTGAGTAAAATTACCTAGAGCAATTAACATGATGATCGATAATAAATACAAATTACGTAACAACGTAGTGTTTTAGGTCTCAGATATAAACAAATACAATTTCGATATAAATCAATGATACTAACCAATAACAGGAAGTGACGATGGAACTAGTCATTTGATGGCAGTCACTAAACAACTACATTTACACCGTGAACCTGAGAAATCCATTATTTTGCCCATTAAATAATTCCTAGTGTCAATACATAAATCCATCGAAAGAGAGCAACGCAGGCAGTTTTTATAATATATAACTCAAATAACGTTAAGTGAAAAATCCTACTGCCATCTAGTACTATTCTGACCTTGAAAAATCGAGATGCAGAAATACATATCTTCGGGACCATATGTGAGACGAAATTAATGGCCAGTGGTGAAGAAAGGGAGTTTTCGACGTAGCTAATTCGGGGGACAGTAGTTCATCACGAGCCCTAATCCTACCAACGGTAGTGAAGTAAAAACCCTTTAGTGTGTTGATTCACTTGCTTAGTACACCTTTCAGTGACATATATGGTGAAAAGACTTCTTGACCAGCTTACAACGTATAGGTGACAGATGTTTTTGGTTCGTCGTATCTCATCACTCAAACCATAGAGAGAACTTAAGAGACCTATACTAAGTTAACTATTAGTGTTAGCCCTCCGACAATATACCCAGAACAAAGAAAATGAGACTTGCTGAATAATATTAACTAAGTTGACAAAGAAAAGGTTTAACAATTCTCCAGGCTAATTATTTTCTGAACTACAAAAATATCATTGAAGAGGATTTTATATTTACGCAAATATAGAAACAGGGCTTATGTGAGGATTTATTCAAGTGTAAAATAAGTGCACTTTCCATTTTGAACTAATGGTTCTCAATAAAAAAATACTGGTTAGAATCGTACTTCCAATCAACTAAATTAGATTTGAAATGGTTTTGGATTATCCCGTTGTTTATATTTTCAACTGAAATTTTATCAGTCTTGGCTGGCATATGGGCATCTTGTGTGTATTGCCTTGATATAAACATTACGACAAGTTGGTATCGAATAAATAGAATGCAGATAGCATTGGAATCCGGGACACGCATTTCGTCCTATTTTGATGTTCCCTCTAAGGACTCGAACCCAACACCGTTTGTTCCAAATACAATCGCGTTGGTCAGGTGATGAATCGAAAATGGGACGAAACTCTTTTCCTAATACTAGCCATCTTCCATCTATTCTACAACTAGATTAAAGTTCACTGCTCTAGGATAATTACACAAAAAAATTTACTGAATGATAAGGTTCTAATGTAAATAAGGGATTTGGTAATGATATTTCTTCAAACAACATTTTTGAAATGAAAAATCTTTTGACCATAAACAATTGGGTAAAAACATACGATTAAAATCATGATACATGAATCTGAGAAAACTATAGATTTCGCAAAAATTTATCAAGATACATAAATCACACGATTATAACAGAATATAAAGTCATCAAATTCATACAAATTACCTATACCCTGGATACTATCCGGCTCAGAGTTAAACTTATATTTTTCCGATTCTTGATACCAATGTTCAATTAGGTCTTTGCCTTGATAAAAAAGAAACATATTAAAATTATTTAACAACATAAACCTAAATATAACTTTCTCTTAAGAAGTAAATTTCTTAATACAATTAAAAAGCTTATGTGAAATACCATACAATATATCATGATTATCAGAACTATGTGAACTATTAAGGCAATTCATTTCAAACAATCTGATCACAAATGTATTTGTTAAAAACATTCATATATGAGAAACAAAAGAATGTTGAAATGATATGAAACTCATCACGCTGGATAAGTAAAATATTAATACCAGGGTAAATTCAGAGTGAGAAAAAGCTGTCTTTGAACAAATAAAAGGAGTTTGAATTTTCGTTTGGCCAAGGTTCCAAAAAACTATAGAATATCCCCTAGACAATTTTTGTGCAAAACCAAAAAGGTTGAGTTAAGATCAATCTTATAACCTGGACTCATCTAAGATCTTTTTCAAAACGAATTAATACACTTTCATCGCACATCAAATTCACCAATGAAAATGAAAATGCACATGGTGAGCTACCATTCTTGGATTGCTTAGTTAAAAGAAATCCAAATGGAAGTCTAAACCTATCCATTTACCGAAAGCCGACGCACTCAAATCGTTATATTGACTTCCATTCAGCACATCCTTTCAGTGCTAAGATCTCGCTAGCCTTAAATCTTTTTAGAAGAGCTAACAAGATCATCACATCAGAGGAAGACAAACAAAAAGAACAAATGAATATAATTAGCATCTTACAATTTAATAATTTTCCTATGAAGATTATTAGAAGCATATTAAAACAAAACAATTTATTACATTATAATAATGATTCGAATGAAATGCCATGGATTGGCACTGTAGTCCTACCATACCGTCATGGCACAACAGAAGAAATTCAAAGAATCTTAAAACATCACAGAATTAAAGTGTATTACAAAACAACGAACACACTACGTAATACTTTAGTTCGCCTGAAAGAAAAAATTCCTTTCATGTCCACACAGAACTGCGTCTACAAATTAGGTTGTATCGATTGTGATGCCTATTATATTGGAGAGTCATCCCGCGAAATCGTGACTAGAGCCAAAGAACATATTAGGTACACAAAGAAACCTCCTAACAATCCGGTAGAATTGAACCAACTTCAAATTAAATCGGCAATAGCAGTTCATGCCATTTTCAACAACCACCAAATCGATTTTAAAAATATCAAAATATTGCAAAAAGGCTTTTCCAACTACAAAGAATGGAGGGTAGCTGAGGCGTTCCATATAATGCTTAATCCTACTTCTCTCAATCGAAAAGAAGGCCTTACCATACATCCTACTTGGACCATCTATCCTAACCATTCAGTCTGATCGTATTTACAATTTCACACTTTCATATTACAAATTTAAACTCTATCCTTTCTTACCATAAAGGTCACACAAGTTTTCATTCTTAAACAATGCACATATACATACACACACAAATTTACATACTTATCACTTATGAATCACCTTGACAGAAATGACATGACATCAACTTGTTCAGACCTGTTTTTGATTGATCAAATATTATTCTTGCATTGTTCCGTTGTACTATTTAAACTTGGATTAATTTAATTTTGGTTATTTATTCTCTGAAGAAGTGACTTACACTAAGCCACGAAACGTCAGAAAATCCAATTTTCTACTCATTGGGATATTACAAATATATTATTTTTATTTATAATCTTATAACCTGTTTCAACTAACTGTTTAGCAATAGACGACGATGGAGGTTTATCATCTGGTTCGATTATGTCATTTGATTTTATTAGTTTCTGTAGCCATTTCGGTAAATGTTGAAAAACCCCGAAATTGCAAATCACGGTTTCTCTTCCTCATGTATATGTAGCGACAAACTTACATGTGATTAGATTATTTTATTTATTTACTTAAACATATAAATATTGGAACAAAGGAGCACCATATTACATATGGGGCACACGATAAAAATGGTTTTGTGAAGAGACAGAGAAAGTTGAGTATAATAAAAATGAATAGAAATTAGTGTGTGAGAGTGAAGTAAGCATAATAATAATAATAATAATAATAATAATAAATATAGTTATTATTATTATTATTGTAAGAATGGCAGAAGCAGTTCAAAATTTGAAAAATTCCCATATTGTAATTTAAAACAACATATATAAGCGAACAATATTGTTTTTGATTAGATCGTCATTAGGCTTTACTCTAATCTACAGCAATATTTATATGCATATACGAAATTATTAAACCAATCAAGGTAGTTTATGAGTCAATGGTAACAATGGAATAGATTACATAAATAAGCATAATATGTGAAAAGTACAAATTGATAGTGTGATGACAGGTGTACTAGTTTCGATAAGAATAATAAAGGCTTAAATCAACGTTACATAGAACGATGGAGCGATGGGTTCACCTCTGGTTTCTATCCTTACGGACTTTTTTCTCGCGAAACTAGAAAATGGACCTCTCAAAGATGCTATTGATAAGCTTGACTTCTACTGTCGTTACGTTGATGACACTTTCATTATTGTCGATCAGAACATTAGAAAAGAAGAACTACTTAACAACAAACATCCAGCAATTAAATTTACATGTGAAGCGGAACTCCATAATAAACTACACTTCCCTGACGTTTTGTTAAACAGAAAATAAAATTGTTCTATCAGTAGAAGTGTGTTCAGAAAAAGCTCTTCATCAAACCAATACACACATTTCGTAAGCTTTGTACCCCTTCATCATAAGAGAAACTTAGTCAAATGTCTGGCAAATAGAATTATTGAGATATGCTCAGTCGATACAATTGATAAATAATTAGAACTCATACATATGTTGATTGAAATGGGTTATCTACAGGTTTTCCTGAAGAAACACTTGCGTGTAACGAGTAAGAAAATAGCGACATCAATGGCTACTAAGGAACCTCTCTTCTTGAGGCTGCAATTCAATGGAGATGTAGCTGGTGATGTACTACGTGATAGACTGATTAATGCAGTGAAGAAAACGTTTAATGCAGTCACCTCTGTCTATGGTATTCGACCAGATCTATGGTGATTCCCTAACTAAAGGATAAGTTACCTCGTTACGCCAATTCCATGTGCATCTACGAATTCAGCTGCTCCTGTGGAGAAAGCTAATATTGGGCGCACTACCGGACAACTGGACCAAACAGGTAGTGAACACCTCCCTTCGTGGTTAGGAATAGGTACTGTCAAGACAATACGCAGCTTGGTTCTACCACACTTGGTCGATATCGGTCATGCAGTAGACAGAAACATGCCATTTAAAGTTCTTTATCGTATTCCTACTAGTTTTCCTTATGGTGTTCGATCTTATCTCTTACACATAGCAGAAGCTATAGGAATTCGAGCCAACAATCCAAGTCTTTTTGTTCATAAGAAATTTGTAACACACTTAGCCTTAGTAAATGATTTTATTTATTTTCCATGCTCTTCGTTTATTTTTCCTTACAACCTCCCACCCTTTTCTTTTCTCAAATATACGCTTCACGGTCCAGTCATCTGAACACCTCCTATTATGTAATCTTGAATCCTTTCTATGAAAATTATTTCAGTGTCTACATTTCTCTAATCACTGACCTATTTCCGCTTATGTAACATTGGTTTAAGCCTTTATTATTAATATCAAAACTAGTACACCTGTCAATAGACAATCCAAAAGAACAGTCCTATTCAACAAATTGAAAGCGACCCTGATGTTAAAATGATTCGAAACGCATAGCACTAATAGATCACATAGTTTTGATAATCTTCGTCTTGATATTACACTACTTAAATTTATCAAAGGCACTAATTATTTTAAATATCTTATGATCACTTCTATTACGAAAAATGTGTTAGCCTTTTTCCTAGTCAAAAGTGACCACAACTCTTCACTACTATGTGATATCTTAAAGTTTAAAGGTCTTGCAAGTGGGATGGATGGTTTATATTATGTTTTATAAATCTGTATTTTAAAAAAGAAAGAAAGATTAGTTCAGCGAAGAGTTCTCTTTTCGGCGAATTCATTTTCAAAGCTGTACAATCGCAAATATATATACTTATTTTTACAGGGTGATAATAATACTGATAATAAACTTCTGTTATACATGGTGACAGTGAGGTTAAATAAACAAAGGTATTAGAAAAAAAATTTAAAAAAACAAGGAAAGTTTGATAGTTAATGGCTTCTAGTATTCCTTGTTTTTTAAAAATTTTTTTCTAATACCTTTGTTTATTTAACCTCACTGTCACCATGTATAACAGAAGTTTATTATCAGTATTATTATCACCCTGTAAAAATAAGTATATATATTTGCTATTGTACGGCTTTGAAAATGAATTCGCCGAAAAGAGAACTCTTTGCTGAACTAATCTTTCTTTCTTATTTAATGTCATAATGGGTGTATTTTAAAAAACAGTTTTTGCTATAAACCGATATTAGCTAGAGAACCACTAAAAATAAAAAATGTACTAGAGGGCTAATTCGTCAAAATATGGGACTAGTACCACTCAACAGTAAGCACATATTACCTCATATTGAACCAAACTGAGAATCTTGGAACCTCACAAAAAGGACAATACGCCCAAAAAACATATCCAACCTCGATCGATTCGTAAAACAACACAATTCTTATCCATTGCCAGTAGTGAGTTGGCATCTTGAGCTTGACATGGTTAATCCCATAAATGGTAGGGAGTTGATGACTTAGAAACCAAAAATTTAGGTCACTGGTTGGTGAGGTAGAATTTTCTTACTGAATAATTTGATTCATAACGTTACGTGGTTGAAATAATCCTATTGGACAATTCACCAATCAACACAAATCATTCAATTACTTTCTTATTGTAATTTTTAGGTCATTAAGAAAATACATTGAAAGTAATACATTTGATAGACAGTAATTTTTCAAAATCACAGGCTAGACTGTCTTATAACCCGCATCCAAGTCAGATATGATGCACTGTGGGATTAGTAATCATGTTTATTCTCGATTCGTACGCTATTAGCACAAAATCCTTTCGCTCGGTCATAACAATACTTAACATCCTATCGATGGAACTTTCAGAAGTCCGTTTGAAAGCTAATCATAAGTGAGAACAGTTATACTTACAGGAAGTGATCTAATTAAACCAGTGCCATTTATTTGTGTACATAACAGAAGACAATATGGGATGTGCATATAAAAACGATGAAAAGTTTAAAAACCAATTTTACTTACAATTATGTTCCATTGGTCCATTCGACCAGCGACTTCCCAAATTTTCACCGACTTTCATACCACGATATACATATCCACTATTGGACAAATGAGATTGTTGAAGCAAATGATCAGCCCATTGTTGTGCCATATTCGAAAGGTCCTATCACAGAACAGGGAATGTGTGAAACTTCAGAATAAGAAATTTATAAGTGTAGATACTATTTCACAGTTTAACGAATCTCAAGATGCAACTAAGATATGATCAGGGATGAAACGAAAATGGAATAAAATGACCTTTATTTTTTACGGTTTATGTTACTCAGTGACGGTTAATTCGATTCCAAAAATAACGCTCGGATTTTGAGATATACGGTGATTGGGGTGGGAAGGGAAAATAATATGACCTCGATTGGATATTTATACCTATCAAACTTGTGTTCACAATACAGAATTCCGAAATCGAAACCAAGTATTTATTATTCATTGAATTTTTGTAATAGGTAGTAAACTATTTTGAGTAAACTACGGTGTCTTTCCAAATAAGTACATAAAACGATAGCTGACTCACCGAGATAAACTGATATTATTTTATCACGTACTTAACCAGCGCTATTTAGCATAAAATGAAAAACTTTACCACACATAACAAAGCGTAGACAAATACTACTATGTTCGAATCCAAGTTATATCTGATAAAATATCGAACGAATTAACTGTATGGTCTTAACGACTAGATTTGGGGAGTTAGGATGGACCAACAAATTTGAACCCGATACAATCAACTGGTTATTCCCTTACTTCTGTTATTCAATTTTCGAGGCAAAACCAGTCTTAAATGTGAAAAATCCAGAGTGGTACATGCAAACTGAGACTAAGATATAAAGAAAGGTGTTTATAATGGTTCTATTTATTAGGAAATAAAATGTATCATAAGAATTACGTACCTCCAAGTGAAGCCAGGTTTTACAAAGACAGGAATAAAATTATACATATTGAAGCATCTAACGTCTGATAATTTACATTCAAGTTAACTTGTGGAGGCGTCAATGACGATTCGGACTGGCACATTATGCCTTGAGTTTTGTTGATAGAAGAGTGATTTCGTCTGCCACACTTCCATTAAAGTTCGCATGACTTCCAAGGCATGCAAAACTTTTAGATACTTTCGTCAGCTTACCACTAAGTTTGAAAGCAGACACCTTAAAACCCAGTGAAGTGAAGGAAGCAGAGGCTTCTGCCACACTGTTTGTCTTGACCTGAATTTGTTGGTGTGTATGGGATAGAAGGTTTAGGTCATATGAGAAGTCCGAATCGTCTAATTGCATCCAACCTGTCCATTATATTCTGTGTCCCTCCTCAGGTGTGGAGGTCTTCATGATCCAGCCAGCCACCAGAAGAAATAGAAAAGGGAGGAGTAAGCAGCCTTCTTTGACTCCGGTCCTCACTTGGAATATATATATATATATATATATATATATATATATATATACGAAATTGAGAGGACGAAAAGCGAATGTCCGGCGCTTTAACGGGATCGGTGGACATGGAGAGTCCACATAGGGGAGTTGCAAAACCCTGATTCCAAATCAATGGTGCACATGGGCTCCAGGATCCTGAAGGAACAAATGGTGCATGAACCAATTCCTTGGTCACTGGCTACCATGAGACTGCATCTCCTTACGATGCTCCACTGCCTTGTGGATCAAACCTTCAGGTCGAAGGCTCCGGGTGTTGCCCCGTAAGAAAACCACCTGCTTCGGTTTGGGTACCCGGGCAGTATCACAGCCCCCACACATATCAAATGAGATTTTTGTGGCTCATATGTATTTGGTGCCTCCTTGTACCAATATCTATGTGTTCAAATAAATAAATAAATAAATAGATGTGTAGTTTGCTACTTTCACGTCAACTTATACACGACGATTCTACGAAACAAACTTGGGACATTCACATCTCGCAGAAAGTAAGGATGACATAGTTATCTACCAACAGTAATGAATGATTATTGTGTTATATTATGAATTGACTGAATTTTGAAATATGAATCAGTTGATTCCAGTTCAATGGTATAAAGCCCACATATCAATAGCAAGACCTAACAAAATTTTGAGTATTCTTTTTGTTTACAATTACTTCTTTTAGAGATTACAAGTGAATAGTAAATATCATATATTAATTATTCAGTAAAAAAGTAGAAAATGAAAACTATATTAACCTACTTGGTCAAGTACTAGAGGATTGGAACCATGTTGACTACGATATTGATTATGAAGTTGAACAACTGAGTGAATGGATTCTCGGAGTTTCTTACTATTATCCTGTATAGTATGCAAAGTTATTTATAACAGAATAATGTTATAAAGTCGTTCTAATGCTAGTTTCATATAACTGTTATGTGTGCAAGGCGTAGATTAACCCGATTAAGAAAAAGTAACTGATAGAGTCTTAGAATGATGAGATCTTATGAAAACTTAACAAAAAAACAATAACGGAGACCAAGAAATTAATGTATTTACACAAATGAGCAGCTTACATTACACTGGGAAATTACTATTATTACTCCTAATATTACATAATTCTCATTATACAGGAAAGTACTTAACACAATAGTACAACTGGATATGCTTCACGTGAAATGAGATAACATTGTTGAGAAATAAAAGTGAGAAAGGTCAGACAATAAATAAATAAATAGGTATATTATTGATAAAAATATACAGTTGAAATCAGACCATAAGATAGACTTTACTTAATTAGAAGAGGCAATTCACTAATTATGATAAACACGATAGAGAGTCATGGAAAGATCGCCAGTGTACTCAATTATGAGTCATTTCTGATACTGTCTCAATCCACTAGATTGCATAAAAAATAAGGACCAGATAGATGGCTAAAAATCAAACAGAGAGACGTGTACTTGTTAACTGGGTGGATATTATCAATAGTTTTCCACGATAAACTGTTTCCTGTAATTAACCAGGTATTCTTACTGATGAGAGAGCTTCACATTTGACACACCTCTCAAGTGGACCATTTATCCTATAAAAATACTGTAAAAGTCGTTATTTATAAGGGCATTTAATAATATCATCAACATCAAGATAATAATGTTTTTGCAAAAATTAGATTAGCCATCCCGCAACTTTAGTGAAGTACTTATCAAATACTATAAGTTCAAGTTGCTTTTTAATCATCTTTTTTGTCATAAAGTATGATAAAAATGGATGTTTTAAAGCCGTCACATACTGCAATGACACTTCTTCTATTAAACTGACCATATTATCACTTTTGAGTCGGCACTAAACCACAATCTAACTGATTTACAATACCGAAATACTTCCCACCATGGATTAGCCCTAGCTGAGTGAGTTTTACAAAGCAATAAAGGACTTAGTAGATGTTTCATCCCATTTTCTTAGACTACTCAGTAGAACAGATCCATGATTTTACAAGGTATCAAACTCAAGATCTTTAAGCCTCAAGGCACGCGTACTATATCCAAACTACTGGTTGCGAATCTAGCAGTAAACACCATCAACTTCATAATCTGTGAAAATAGCCAGTAAAACAGGCAAAATTATCGAAACAACACGAACAATAGGGAAGAAATGTTGTTTTTTTAATAATTTAATTACTACTAACTTAACTGTAGTAAAAATAGAATATTGTAAAAAAAATTTAAAACTCACAACTAAATGGCCGTCTGGTGAAATACTTGATTCCGCTTTTTTCTGGTCTTTACAGGCATCTGTATACACTTCGTTGACACATCGCCTTGTCTACATTAAAAGAAATGGACTCTTTAATACTTGTTTAAACTCAAGAGTTACAAAAGTTGTTATTAATGACCACATGCGACTAGGAAAAAATAAAGTGAAGGATGCAACACATAAAGTTAGAGAAGTGAAATGTAAGGGAATTAACGTTGTAAAATTATTTAACAAGTTTATTAATGGTGGAATAGAAATATAACAATATTGAAAAACATTACTATTTCAAAAGTCAATCCGCTGACTAATTTAAGAAACTAGTTCATTATTTGCTCATTAATGTGCATCGACCAGTTTACCTGCTCATATGGAGCGGACTTTATTAACCGCACAAAGAGAGCTGTTTCATAGCACAGCTCTGAATATTATATTGCCTTGCTATCTGAAGGACTACAAAAGTCAATCTAAAACTTAATCCTGAAAGATCTAGTTAATTCTGGTCACTCTGCTTCACCAGAATCCCCCCTCAAAATTATTCAAACAGCCAAAAGAATCGGCTCAGAAAGAATATAAATAATATAAAAAAACAATGTACAGCAGAGGCTATAGCTATCCAGATTCAAACGTCACATTTGTTTATAAAAACAGTATGTTCAATCACTCATCCTACCATAGTCTTAACCTTTCTTTTTGTCTTCGCTTTTTTCTACTTTCTAATTATTTTTTACAACCTAATTAACCATTACTACAACTTATGACTATTTTGCTCTTAATAACTATCAAATGGAAAAATTTCCTTAGCTGATGGAGGATGTTACTGCATAACTTTTTTTTCAATATATGACCTTTATAAAAAATTTGTGACATAATGCCACTTTAAGTTTCTTATTGTACAATACTATCCTATTTTGTTATAGACTGCTATTTTTGGCAAAAAAAAACTATAAATACGATTGTGAATGAAATCGTTAAGAAGATTTTCCTTTGCTGAATTATCTCTATTCCTTTTCAATAACACAACGAATCTCTCTCTCTCTCAACGTAAATTGTGTTAATGACATTTTCAATTGATCAGGCGAAAATTTACATTGGTCTACATTGACACATTTCAAACAAGGGGTTAACAGTATGATAAGCATAGAATTCGGAATAATAACAGATTATGATATGCGAAACCACTACTAAAAAGTTGACTAAATGGCTGGGAGATTTCGCTCTCTTGATTTAAAAATAGCTAGGTATTGTACGTAAGGAGATACTACCTAAGATTTCATAAGTAGATGCTTTGAGGTTCTAACTGACTGACACTACACGCATAAAAGCAATAAATGTTCATAACACTACCCATTAACTGACCCATTGTTTTGAACTGAACGCTTACATAAGAACATAAAAGAACTAATCCTAGGGTCAAAACAACAGAAGAAATATTCCATTTTTTACCTAATCTGACTAAATACAATTTTTCATTCTAAAAAGAAACAAAAATATTCAACTTATTGATTATACTAGCGACTCGTAATTTACAAAGGCTGTCTGTCAATTGGCTGTAACATTCCATTACTTGAACTAGTAAATATTATAAACATAACCGCAAGTAAATAATATCGTCTAAACAAAAACACAAGGTTAAAAATGTTGCTAGAAAAGAGTAAAAGATTACTGCATATCTCTTGTACAACAATCTAGATGATTAAATCATGTTTGGAATGTTAGTATTACAACGACAAAGAAAAAACTACACTTGAATTTAGTATCTGATCCATAGTTTTGATGTACCTGTGTGTAGTAATACTTAACAATCCCCTACACCATACCAACGGTGGACTTATTTAGACCATATTACCATCAGTCATCGTTAGAGAAGCTCGATAGACGACTGCCACTCGTTCTGAAATGTATGGTTAAACTCTAATCATGCTCTAATACAAGCATGCATTTGCTTGCATCTCAATGCGCCCAGGAAAGCCATATTAAGAAGACCCATTATAGTTAAACTCAGTGGTGAAAAAGCCGAAGGTAAATTCTAAGGAAAACTGAAGTCATACTTTGGTCATTTTGAGAACGAGGCTGACCCAGATGTTGCTTGGAAAGATATACAAACAGCCATGCAAACAGCAGCGACACGTGTTAATGATTTGAAACAAAGGGTCACGAAAAACCAGTGGATTTCTCCTAAGACTATTGTACTGACAGACTATCGTAAACTTACCCCATCAGGCCCCGAACACAATGAAGGGCAAAAACAAATCTAACCTAGGCTAACCAAAAGTCTACAGAACGACCGTGAGCAGTGGTGGGCAACGAAAGCAAAAGAGATGGAAAAGGCGGCGACTATAGGGAACACAAGACAGCTCTACAGACTAATAAAAGAAACTGGAACTAATAAGCCAAGTGTAAGTGAAACTATATCGGGAAAAGACGACACTTATCTGCTCTCAGCCCAGACGTTTGGAACGATGGGAGGAACACTTTAGAGAGCAGGGTAGCTGGCCTTCAGCAACTTTACAGCCACCCAGCATTCCCAAACAGCCTGAATAGAATATTGAAGTAGCCCTCCCCCGACTCTAACTGAAGTTCAAAAAGCCATAGCTAATCTGAAACGAGGAAGAGCAACTGGTTCAGATGGATTAACTCCAAAGGTCTTTAAGGATGGAGGTCCAATTTCAGCGATTAGGTTGACGAATATTTTAGCTAAAATCTGGGAGTTGGGCGTAATCCCATCTGACTGGTCACAATCACATATTGTCCCGATATATAAGAAAAGGTCAAAATCATCCAGCGACAACCACAGAGGGATTAGTTTGACTAACATAGCATCTAAAATACTAGCCTCAAGAATTATCAGACGCCTAACTAACACTCGTTAACTGCAAACACGAGAGAACCAAGCTGGCTTCAGACCTGGTCGTGGCTGCATCGACCACATATTCACCATTCGTCAGGTTCTAGAACACAGGCATACTTATCGACGTCCGACAATGGTGGTCTTTCTTGACTTAAAAGCAGCATTTGACTCGGTAGACCGCGAGATTCTGTGGCAGTGTCTGTCATTGAAAGGCGTACCCCAGAAGTACATAAACCTTGTGAAGGCTCTTTACTCGAACACTACTAGTCGAGTCAGAGCTTATGGCGAACTGTCATCTACTTTTGCAACCTCAAGTGGTGTCTGTCAAGGCTGTCCACTTTCTCCATTTCTGTTTAACTTCATCATAGACCTACTGATGGAAATAACATTCTCGTCGACTGAATTCTCGGGTATTGATCTCCTACCAGGAGGTCCACTTATCGACTTAGAATACGCAGATGATATAGTCCTGTTTGGTGAAGACGCTGACAAAATGCAGAGTCTTTTGGTAGCACTAGGCAACAATGCCAGAATGTTTGGAATGCGCTTCTCTCCCTCTAAATGCAAGCTGCTGCTTCCAGACTGGCCTGCGTCAACACCTGAACTAAGGATAGGGAGTGAAGTAGTCGAACGCGTCGACAACTTCACTTATCTTGGAAGTCTGATCAGTCCTAATGGGCTGGTATCGGACGAAATCTCAGCACGGATTCGAAAAGCTCGTTTGGCTTTTGCCAACTTACGTCACCTTTGGCGAAGGCAAGATATCCGTCTATCAATAAAAGGACGAGTATACTGCGCGGCAGTCCGTTCTGTCTTACTTTACGGCAGTGAAACATGGCCTTTAAGAGTAGAAGACACCCGTAAGCTACAAGTATTTGACCACAGATGCCTTAGAAATATTGCTGGCATCTGCTGAGATCACCGGACAAGTAATAGTGAGGTTAGGCGCAGAGTATTAGGGAATAATGGTAAATCAGTTGATGAGGTTGTGAATCTTCACCAACTGAGATGGTTGGGTTACGCGTCACGTATGCCTGAACACCGATTACCACGACGCGCAATCCTAACCGATGTTCAAAGTGGTAGTAAAATATATTGCTTGTTATTTTCTTCAGACTCCTCATCTTAGTTATAACTTCGATGAAATAAAGGTTAGGACACGACAAGATTAATGGAAGAAAATCAGAAATAAACTGAGGAAACGTTAAGCAACATAAATGAAGAAGATAATGGTACCTTTCCTTTATCATCAGTCAATTCAGAGATCTCTCTTCGAACATTGTACTGTTTCCCATCACTTTCTGTCAGTGTTTCAGTAATAACTGTCTTCGGAGTATCTGAGGAGGAAAAATATGGTGGTTCGATAAAAACAAAAGTATTCAACTAGTAAGTAATATCCCTAAAGCTACTGTTTAAACTTATTAAAATATAAACAACTCAGTAAATCACATTGTCAGTCATCGTTAATAGAGAACCTGGGAAAAGTCTGTTTCCACACTTTATATCAACCCAGTAAGACAGAGAATAAACAAGATGAAAATAAAGAAAGTGAGTTTAACTACTCCCTGTGACCCAATTTTACATATTGTTCAACTTTTCCAACAATCGACTACAAGTATTGCGTGGCCCCTAGCCAAGAAATATACACCGAGAAACATAACTTAAACTGTGAATCGATGACTTCATGGATTGACATAATATCTTGATTTACCCACCCTTGGCTCTCATCTTACCTTCTCTTATACCAACTTGAAATGCACATCCGAGTAGGCATTGGTTGTACACGAGTAAGATACATTTTAACCCCCTCAGTCGATGAGGGTTTATATCTTAATTAAAAAACTTTCTCTTTTTATTTAGTACTCTAAGTTTAATTGTACTATTTTTCGCTTGATGGTTCCGCTGCATGTGACCGGTACTACGAAGATACCTGTGGTAAAACATTTGCAGACAACACACAGACTCATCGAATAAGCAAGCTATAAGTCTCAATTCAGCATGACAAGTAACATGAGTAACAGTTCTTGCTTATTAAAATAATGGAAGCCCTGAGGCCGTTTGAATGTCAATACTTAGAGTTGAGCAAACGGATCAGTCAGTCAGTCAGCTACAACGTAGGACCAGGCACATATATTCATCGGTCCAGGTTGCCATACCTTATTAACACAGCAAGATGAACACCGGATTCATAGGAGTGGTTAGGTCAAACGTGGTAATATATAGGAGAAAGATTGCATATAAGGATACAGTACAGGAAGAAAGAATTAGTTAGTAGAAAGAAAGATATGAAGTGATTTTAATCTCTTAGTTTAAGGGAAGACAGGGAGTGTATGCACCGACGCCATTGAGATCGATTCTGAGCCATGTCACCAAGAGTCTCCAACAATCGGTTACGAAATTCACGCGGACCACAACCAAGTAGTCTGCATCTACAAACATGGCTCAGACTAGAGGTTGGTGTCTTCAAGCACTGATGTCACGTTTTGGTTTGGCCGCCCCTAATTCTCTTCCAACCATCTCTAACACCCGTTAGCATTGCACGACGTGGTAATCGGTGTTCAGGCATACGTGACGCGTAACCCAACCATCTCAGTTGGTGAAGATTCACAACCTCATCAACTGATTTACCATTATTCCCTAATACTCTGCGCCTAACCTCACTATTACTTGTCCGGTGATCTCAGCAGATGCCAGCAATATTTCTAAGGCATCTGTGGTCAAATACTTGTAGCTTACGGGTGTCTTCTACTCTTAAAGGCCATGTTTCACTGCCGTAAAGTAAGACAGAACGGACTGCCGCGCAGTATACTCGTCCTTTTATTGATAGACGGATATCTTGCCTTCGCCAAAGGTGACGTAAGTTGGCAAAAGCCAAACGAGCTTTTCGAATCCGTGCTGAGATTTCGTCCGATACCAGCCCATTAGGACTGATCAGACTTCCAAGATAAGTGAAGTTGTCGACGCGTTCGACTACTTCACTCCCTATCCTTAGTTCAGGTGTTGACGCAGGCCAGTCTGGAAGCAGCAGCTTGCATTTAGAGGGAGAGAAGCGCATTCCAAACATTCTGGCATTGTTGCCTAGTGCTACCAAAAGACTCTGCATTTTGTCAGCGTCTTCACCAAACAGGACTATATCATCTGCGTATTCTAAGTCGATAAGTGGACCTCCTGGTAGGAGATCAATACCCGAGAATTCAGTCGACGAGAATGTTATTTCCATCAGTAGGTCTATGATGAAGTTAAACAGAAATGGAGAAAGTGGACAGCCTTGACAGACACCACTTGAGGTTGCAAAAGTAGATGACAGTTCGCCATAAGCTCTGACTCGACTAGTAGTGTTCGAGTAAAGAGCCTTCACAAGGTTTATGTACTTCTGGGGTACGCCTTTCAATGACAGACACTGCCACAGAATCTCGCGGTCTACCGAGTCAAATGCTGCTTTTAAGTCAAGAAAGACCACCATTGTCGGACGTCGATAAGTATGCCTGTGTTCTAGAACCTGACGAATGGTGAATATGTGGTCGATGCAGCCACGACCAGGTCTGAAGCCAGCTTGGTTCTCTCGTGTTTGCAGTTAACGAGTGTTAGTTAGGCGTCTGATAATTCTTGAGGCTAGTATTTTAGATGCTATGTTAGTCAAACTAATCCCTCTGTGGTTGTCGCTGGATGATTTTGACCTTTTCTTATATATCGGGACAATATGTGATTGTGACCAGTCAGATGGGATTACGCCCAACTCCCAGATTTTAGCTAAAATATTCGTCAACCTAATCGCTGAAATTGGACCTCCATCCTTAAAGACCTTTGGAGTTAATCCATCTGAACCAGTTGCTCTTCCTCGTTTCAGATTAGCTATGGCTTTTTGAACTTCAGTTAGAGTCGGGGGAGGGCTACTTCAATATTCTATTCAGGCTGTTTGGGAATGCTGGGTGGCTGTAAAGTTGCTGAAGGCCAGCTACCCTGCTCTCTAAAGTGTTCCTCCCATCGTTCCAAACGTCTGGGCTGAGAGCAGATAAGTGTCGTCTTTTCCCGATATAGTTTCACTTACACTTGGCTTATTAGTTCCAGTTTCTTTTATTAGTCTGTAGAGCTGTCTTGTGTTCCCTATAGTCGCCGCCTTTTCCATCTCTTTTGCTTTCGTTGCCCACCACTGCTCACGGTCGTTCTGTAGACTTTTGGTTAGCCTAGGTCTGATTTGTTGTCGCTCCTCATCATGTTCGGAACCTGATGGGACGAGTTTGCGAGAATCCATCAGTGTGATAGACTTTGAAGAAATCCACTTGTTCTTTGTAACCCTGTGGTTTAAGTTACTAATAGATTTCATTGCTGTTTCCACAGCTGTTTGTATATATCTCCAAGCAACATCTAGGTCAGCCTCGTTTTGAGAACTACCTAAGTGTGACCTCAGTTGTTCTTGGAACCTACTTTTGGTTTTCTCGTTACTCAACTCAGTTCTAACGGGTCTTTTTAATGTGGCTTTTTTGGGTCCAGTGAGGCGCAAGCAGATGCGTGCTCGTATTAGGGCATGGTCGGAGTCCAAGTAGGTACTCCAGAATGAGCGATAATCTTCTACCGACCCTCTCCAATGATGACTGATGGCAATATGGTCTATTTGAGTCCATCGTTGGTTTGGTGTAGGGGGTCGCCATGTTAGACGATGTCTTTCCTTATGCTTAAACTTTGTGTTTGCTAAAAACAAACGATTATCTGAGCACAGTTGCAGCAGACTATCACCATTATCTGTTCGCTGTCCTGGTATACTAAAATATCCCCCTAAATGCCTTTCTGTTTGGTTTAAACTACCTATCTGGGCATTAAAGTCACCTGCTACAAGTACTATGTCTGAACGTTTAGCTTTCTGAAGAAGTTTGGATAGCTTTCTGTAAAATTCATCTTTCACTTCATCTGAGCTGCAGTCGGTGGGAGCGTAGGCAGAAACGACAAAAAGGCAAAGACGTGTTTCCTTATCCTTCCGAGATCTTACGGAGCCGTTTAGCCGGACAGCACATAGACGACTGTTGACGGGGATCCACTCTAACAGTGCTTGTTCCGCCCTCATGCTTAGTGCTATGCCTACACCTGCCAGTCCACGAGAACTGGCCATCGGGTCACCAGATACACGGAGGGTGTATCTCGTTGGCCCTCCGTTTTGCCGAGGTGAGGTCAAGTGAATGACCACACTGGAATCCTGTATGCGTGTTTCGGAGACACAGCATACATCAATGGTACGAGATTCTAGGGTTTTAGCCAAGGAAACCCGCTGACCGATTTGACATAGGGTGCGTACATTGAAGGCTCCAATGTGTAGTGTGGAGCGAGGTTTCAGAAGACCTGTGACAGTGTTTTGAGCACTAGAATCGTTGGCTATGGTCACACTTGAGGGGGAAGCCGAAAAAAGAAGTTTAGAGTTTGAAGTTGATGTAGGAGGAATAATAGGAATCGAAAAGGGAGGTTGATTATGAATACAGTGGTCTTGAGTGCTGTTAGAGGTATGAGGGCGGTTATCACTTCCCGGTTGCCCACACCGTGGAAGGGTTCTTCTGGAGGTACTCGAAAAGGAAATCGGATTAGAAGTGGTCTTAGTGACCTGGGAGCGTGACCGCAGTGCCCAAGAGACAACTGCTTGAGGTCGGTCACACACGACCTTTTTATGGGCAATTTTTGTGTTAGCTCCGTACTTGCTGAGACCTTACCGCCGGAGACGGATATCTGTGGGATAAGGCGAGGTGTGCATTTTTAGGGTCGACCTTTTCTAACCCTACCCCTCCTCGTGGGAAGGCAGCATCGCTGTCATGCTGGTTGTCTGAAGGAAACACCTTACTGCTGTCACACCTCTGTACAGTCAGCAGTACGACTTCGCCTTCGGACCTTGGGTTTGTTGCTTTTATTCTTACCGCTCTTCAACCGACCTGTCTGGCATGGTAGGACCTTGGTGAACGGTTGTTCCAGCCAGTATAGCTCGATCGCTTCATCACGATAGGCAAGCCCGACCACCACGTCAAGGTAGCAACAACGGTCACTAGCTTGCTGACAAAGTCTTTGACCGTAGCCTCGCAGAATCTGAGTGTTCATTAGTGATAAAGAATATTTTCCTTTTATGATAATGATATCTGCCTGAATATGTCGGAAGGAGCAAAACTCCACTACAACGTTTTATGTTGAAATGAAAAATTCAGAGAAAATACTTACCATTATTTAAAGCAAACGTGTTACGTATTGGTTGTTTAACGCCCTCCTTCACTGATTCTTTTGGACGAAAAACATTCTCTAGGTAACGACCAAGTACATTTCCTGGAGGACGATAGTGGGCTACAACGACACATTTTCCAGGACCACAGGCTTTACCGAAGCCAACTTCACGAGTTGAACTCCATACCAGTTGTGTAAAGTTACCTATAATGTAGGAAATACTTGGCTGTTTATGTAAGCGAAGAAAAGTATGACGTGAAGATTATTGGAATAAGACTAGGCTCAAAGTTAACTTAAGTATTCACAAAAATTACGGTATGTAACTAACCTGCAGGTCCTTTACCGTTTTCATAATTATAATTTTCGGCATCTGAATGCCACGTATTTACGACTTCATGACCTAGACAGTTTATAGTTGAAACATAAATGATAACCTTGCATATCCACATGAGTTCCTGTGCTTGTGCGTACACTGATACTTTCACCAACTTCACCTCGACTGGAAAGTGGACTATTTTTTATCCCATCTTCCAACAATAGTGCTTCGGCCCAATCCTGGGCTGTTTTATCTAAAGCGAGACTATGTCGTAAGGCACATACACCATGAAGAAGTCTTTTTTCATTATGTGCTCTGAAACAATCTTCTCTAAAGTCATCTAAGCGACTCATCTATAGAGAAACATCAAGATAAATTCACATCTATAGAGAGCGTATGGAAGATTACCCACTTTACATAGCTTTACTAATACCTTTCGTTTACTTATATTACCAAGACAGTTTAGAATAACAGAGTAATGTCTTGGCAATAAGAATTACGATAGTGCAATGCTTAATCAAACCCAATGACCATAAATTATAAATGGCTAGGCTACAAGATCATGTCACTTTTCAGTGATAAAATTATTTCTAGTGACCAACACTACCAAAGCGGTTTGATCAGGAAACTAGCTTATCATGATGAAGATATTATGGAAAATGAAATGGAACAATTATTATTTGCTATCCTATTTCAGTTCGGTCAGTTTTGGAGTGCTGATGAAATGCAGTAAATTCCAAGTCTACGGTCGAGGTTTTGCTGCTAATCGCACTATATTGTGAAAAATTAGGTGTTTTTCACAAACAAACATCACCATCAGTAATGTCATTTTCCGAACGTTGTGAAATACACTTCATTTAAAACAACCCAACTGTACCTATTGTGATATTTATCATGGTAACTCAAAAACAATGTACATATATGTGAACTCAATATACAAAAAGGCCATGACGGATCAGACTCAAACAGTTGTCTATCAGGCTTTGCACAAATGAATACAGGTCTACGAAACAAAAAATACTGACCCAACTAAATGTTTAACTTCCACAAATAAAAAGCTATTAGTCGCCTAGTGAGCCACCAGGAATTGATAACAGTGTGCATACCTTTAATCATTTTGAATGCTAATTGTAGCGTTAAACGTGGTGTCGTCTAGTTTCTATTTCCGTTACTAACCTTACTCATTAGCTTCATCTTCTTATGTACAACCGACGTTTACAACCGCACCTTATGGGTTGTTATTCGCAGCCCCCTGAAAACCTGCTTTTGGTGTTTGAGCCTTATGTTAAACGATTTCAGTTACTAGAACTTACAAATTATAAACCGCTATGTCTCCAAAAAAGGCATGGATTAAGTACACATGGTCAGTAAATCAACATCTAGCCAATGATGAATGCTAGAACAATTTATACACCAAACTCCACAAAAGCTTCTCATAGTCATGCAGATATACATAAAGCAATAAGAGCATTTTTCAACTGAATTTCAGCTGAAAGTAATGCGTGCTGAGTATTAGGAATGGTATATCGAAAATTTGAAAGGTGATGATATCCACTACTGTTTAAAGTTGTAACTGAAACAAACAATACAGCAGATGAGCAGATTATATCACTTCAAATTATCGACACAGGAAAGCGAAACATACACTAGCCTTCCAAGAGAGAATACATAGACTTAAGTCACCATTTTGCTTATTATTAACTTCGTGCACACATAAACCACAATGAAGAAGAAAATACACTATAAGTACTACTCAGAAAATGCAGGACAGATAGTTCGGACAATACTTAATGGACAAACTAAAAAAATACTTCGCAGGCAAAATGGAACAGAACACTGGCAACCTAATTATTTATACGCAATGGAAGATCTCTGAACTGACTATCAGCTAATAAGTCACTAATCTTCGTTAGCATTTGTGTCGTACTCACAACGTAAGTATGAAAATGAGAAATAGAATTCGTGGTTGCCAAGCAAGTAAGGATACACATCTGAATGATACAAGTGCTAAACTAATTTTTCTAAGAAAGCTTATATTTTAGAAAAGTTTTTCATGAGATAACTTTACTCGATTTAACTACTTATGTAGTTCGCTGTGCTTTCTACATGTCCGCTGGTCTTAGTGGGTTTTCGATGTAATTCTATGTATTTTAACTATTCTTTAAAATGAGGAGTTCTAGTTAAACGGTCATTCCGAGTCTGTTCATGAGTGGAGATAATAAAGAACCACAACATAATACCCCCGGAAATTCCAGATGTTTATAAATTACTATTTTTATGACCTTGAGACCTGACGCGTTCAAACGGTTCAAATGGTTGTGGATTTTAAAAAGAAACTCCAAGTATTTCACTTACTACGAAGCATTATCATAAATATTAACTTTATCACCGGGTTTCGGTGTGTTCGTTTTACTTAAGCATTACTTGGTTGAAAGTTGTGGGTTTCCCGAATATTTGTGTTTTACATAAGTTGGAATAGGAAGTAATAATATTAAGGACATGAACTTATTTTCTTTCCTGTTTTTTTATAGATGACTGAAACATCTATTCTGTAGTCTCAGTTGGAGCGGATTAGAGCCTTTCAAAAGTCGTGACTTTATAGTCAGTAGAAAGGTGTAGAAAGCATTTAGCATTTGACACAGGGAGAAGGCCGACAATGATGGACGCGGGAATATTGATTCAATTCAGTTGGATGGCATGGTTCAGCCTCGCATACGCGTTCATTCTGTATAATTTGATTTTACTCACGTCAAATATATTATTCTGTTTTTAGGTCAAATATATTCTTCAGAAGCACTAGACGTTACATAGCTTATTCTTATGGTGGGATAAGTCAGAATAGACAATTACAGGACTTCCACGTAAAATCTTATAGATTAGATAGTCATATCATGACAAATCCACAATTTTAGGATTAGTTTTATTATAATAATAGTACGAATAACGAAGTAAACTATAATCCTACAGACTCACTTTCCTTTCTTTACGCTTGTCAAGTTTTATAAATTGTAACAGTTTAATGTAGTTCATGTAACCTTTCACAAATCATTTGTTTAACAATGTCGTGTAGTCACAGAACTTAGGGTAGTATCTAACCATAATATACCCATGATTTTGAGTCTCTTGCTAAACTTACATAGGTTTAAAAGATGTCACGGCCATTCAGTTCTTGATAGCGCAATTGTCTATAACACTTTCTAGTCGTATATCTCAAAATTAGTCAGGAATGAAAGAAGTTAGAGATTACAGTTGGAAGTTATGCAGTCCGTCGAGAGGTGCGTGATCTTAGCTAGCTAATCGTCATGATAGTGAGTTTAATGGGACTAATGAAGTCAGAGTCAGTGTTGAATATCCATAAACTACTCAGTTAGGTAATCTATTTACTGTTAGGGCTCGTTCTCTCCTAATGAGGTAGTTATAACTCTAAGACAATACCAACAAAAAGTTTAAACCAAACGACCTTAATTTTTCGTAAATTCCCTTTTGATAGCTTACTATATCTGTAGTGAACAAGAACACGTGTGAAGAAAATCGAATGTATTTGACATGAAATAACAGAGCATGTCACTAAAATCTGAGAACCATATAGTAAAAACATCAATCCATCATATCAAACTTGACTGTTCCTATTGCAGACGTCCATCGATTGTCTCAGATTTCATTGTTCATGCGTTTTCATTCCAATTGCGTTCCGTTCCCGTTCTTTCCTCATCGACCTTCTACTGAAGTACATTCTATGCCTGACCACTGTTAAATACTACATGTGTGGATATAAGTAACCCACACCACACATTCACTAGCGTCTCATTACTTTTTCATGCTCTAAGAAGTCATAAGATGTATAATAATGAAATGTACAATTAATAGTTCGATTCACCGCATTGCTCCTAAATTTTTCATATTTTTCAGTAGTTCTGAAGAGTAAAGAAATGGAAATGTAAATGCAAGTCAAAACAAACTTGTATTTGCTTAAGCAAGAAAACTCTACGAAAAAGTCGTTACCTATGCGTATATATCATAGCGCACAGGCTTTTACATTTTCGCAAGAGAATGATCATGCCCAAGCATTTGAAATATATTTTGGATTTTGTTGGGGGGTCGCCTAATAAGAAGGCGGGGTTTACTTGAACGATGCTGATGTTATCAGTAGTCTCGTTCCTATAAATATAATGTGATTTGATGATGACGAACGCATAGATTCTTTCGTATGCAGCCTTGGTGAGTAGACATAATGAGTCGCAGTATACATAGGTGTGTAATGTGGCTTGGACGAAAACATTAGTTGATTGTAGTCGGGGGGAGTTTTAATCCACATTCACTGAAATAAACGAATGATCTACGAATTCTCCTGGAAATCAAAGTCCTGTGTATTTCTAATTTCAAGTAATATGAGTGGTGGAGATTCACTTCAATGTTATACGTTCGAAGCTAAATTTGAGGCTTTCAACTGTCGGTGACATCGCTCTGCTAAACCGTCAACTTGAGAATATCAGGAAGTTGCTCGAAATTGTATGAGAGTGTATTGGTCCAGATTCGAACGAGCGTTCGCGATCCACTGAAAGACAGCCGCAGTTTGCCACTAGAATCCCAACGAAGGCGAGGAACACTTTTGCACCAGTACTGTTCTTGATAGATACTGCTTCTGATCGTCACACAAAGTGGTCAAAACACTTTAAGAGATGAGTATATCCATTTGGTTCTGATAAGTGTGTGACATCAGAAAAGTGAATCGCTCCAGTGCGTCTGTACTGGTGAATGAATAGCATTTAAGGAGTGTAAGATCCATTTTGAATGCTTTGTGTGTTTGTGAAAATCCCTCCATGTATATACTTGTACTTTGTTCCTATTGATCCTCTTAGTTGTACATTGTTAACCTTTTGGCTACATTTGAATTGTTAATATTTGTATTTTATTATAGTTTTCGTTTTTACTACACCTTCACTAATTCCCCATGTTTCTTCCCGAACTGCACTTATGTTGTTTTACTTTATACTAAGTCTGGTCGGCAGCCATTTGGGTTTGTTCCTGCTTTTGATTGCTTGACCCGTGTTGTCTGGAATTGTGCATTTTGGTTGTGAATTGAAGTACTCTTCCAGAATTGAAAACACTCTGTGTTATAGAGCGACCAATTATTACCTTTTGAACGAATCTGTACGTGATCTATCCAGACAGGATAGAATAACATTTATTTGTGGTGATTGGTAATTTTCTTGCATCCTTTATCAACTTTCTTATTTATTGTAGTTTAGATTTGATCAATTGAACGATTATTGGTTGGATAGCTGAGTGGTTATATTTGTTTAGATCCGTCATCTTACCCAATTACTTTGTTTTTGTTTCAAACGGACGAGGGCGCGTATCTAACTCATCCAGGCAGCTATCCAGCAGTCCAAACGTAGTTTGGATCTTACAAGGAGGACTTCTGAAGAATAAATTTGGACTGAGAATAGAATGTTAAGATTGATATATAAAGCGAGAGGTTACAGTCAGTTACCACACATGCATGGCTGAACCATGCTATATCAATTAATTTTCCTGAGTTCATCATTTCTCCCCTCTAAATGTTGAATGTCGGTCTCTTCAGTTATTCTGTGTTTAGCCTTAAGAATCATGTAGTCAGAAACCAATACCACTACGCATGCACGAAATGATACTGAAAGATACTTTTTCTAATGAGGTGTAGACGTTTGATAAATTTAGATTGCCAAGGTAGGTAAACCATTTTTATCAGTAATAGAATAATATCCTACTCAGAGAAGGTGGGTAAGTCAGTTCAATTCAATTCAAAGATGAAGAAACAACAGTAAATAATAGCAAAAGTTCCTGAAGTAGACAGATAATGTGCTTCGAAGTCTGCAACGCAAAACAGTGCAACCTTTTCGTAAAGTACCTGAAGTGACGTGCGGGATGTGGTCTGGTTATCGAGACTCCTAAGGAGAGCACATGTTTGGGGACGGGTCAAGGTGAAGAGTAAGAGTGCAGCAGTTGGTGAAAGAGTGAATTGTCGGCCCTCTATAATGTCGAAAGTGATTTATAGCCCGGCATACAACTAGAAGTTCCTCGCCATGAGAACTGCGCCTCGGTCCAGTGCCCATGGACTGTCTGGAGAAAGATTTCAAAGGTCACCAAGTTTCATTCACTCACTGCTGTCAGACTCCTCCGACTGCAGAGCCTTATGCATCCACTGCGAAACTGATGGGTGATTTTGATGTCCGGACGTGTGAGCATAGTTACTTTTGTTGTATTCTCCTTGACTATGGAAAAAGCTTTTCTCACGTTCTCGTTCAAATTGTTGAACTTGGCTAGTTAAAGATCTTATGAGAAACGAGCAATTCTGTATAATCTGTCGATGAAAACTTACCAAACCGTAAGCGTACATAAGTGCTTGTCTGTGGTCGGTTCTGGATAGTGCCGAATAGCCATCACTTTGTTCTTCAGAGTGTAGACGCCTTATACATCAATGGCGTGTCCAAGAAAATAGGAGAAATCGGTTTCAATTGACATTTCTCACAGTGATTCTCTCATTTTGAAGTCATTGAAAAACAAGTTCTGAAGCTGGACGTGTTGTTCTCCGTTCGAACGTGAGATTAAGTAGTTATTATATTCATTCTCAAAATCGGAACCTGTGAAACCACCGTCAGTAGTTCACTGAAAGTTGACTTATCTTTCTTTAAACCGAAGGACACAAGTGAAATGTCGCAGAGTCCAAAGGGTATGACAATGCCCGTCTTAGGAATATCATTCCCATGTATTTGGACGTTTCTTATACGTTTTAGTCAAACCAATTTTTTAAAAAGCTGACGTATCTTCTAAGTTGACTGTCAGGTAGTGAATATGCATTATTTCGGAATCAGATGAAAACCACATACTACTACTGAGGTAACTTAGATAAGAATAAATATATAAAGTAGCCCTCATCCTAGATCATTGACCTTTTGTACACGTAGCTAGATTTCTGTTGTCCAGTCGTGTTGTAATTCGATATTGTTGAGCTGTTGGTCCATTCTTCTTCTATAGGTTAGGTCTCCGAGTTGAGGAATAACCTTTTTGAATGTGTAGTAAAGTTTCAGAGGCATTACTGATAAATAAACTAGGTACAGCCTGCCTGATCAACTCACAAGTCAGTTCTTCTAGTTCAGCGAGGAATTGCACACACAGGCCTGTCACAGCGTGCTCATAGAAGTCAGCTTCTGTGTATCTGAATCAGGCTTCTGTATTTGCAGGCCACAATGAGACGACTTGCACGATGAGAGGCGTAGAAGTGTTAAACTTGAATGG